CAGTCAACCGTCTCCATCAAGAGTTCAAGAAGACGTAGTCAACCATCTTCGTCAGATCGTTCAGAGAGAGACTCAGTCATCTCCATATCAATCTCATCGAAGATGTCAAGGAATTTCGCCATGCTGAGTTCACTGTCAAAGGAACTGGGTCAAGCATGGAGTAGTTTCATCATTTGTCTACCCTCCCGCAAGCGAACAAAGTCACAGCCAGTTGGATCGTCATTGCCAGCAAGAGGTTGTTTGAGTGTTGTTCAGTTTCAAGCTCGACATTCTTGTCATTCATGTCTTCGCTTGAGGGGGAGTGTTAAGGATATTAATTATTTAGTCAAAAATAATTAATTCCTTGTCATACAAGTCCCTTGTTTCCTTGTTCAAGTAAAAGAAGGAAACCTGGTTGTCATTAGGGTTTTAACCCTAAGTCTCTCTATATAAGCTTAGCTACGAGATTGTCGTAAGCAAGCCGTCACAATGTAGTCCTCACATAATAAAACGTCAGCCGTGAGCTCGTTCGAGCTCACCGTGGATTAGTCTCGATCAATCAAGATCGAGGATACCACGTAAAATCTTGTGTTCTATGTTCTTTCGTATTTCCGCATCATCAAATTCTACATATCCAACATGCATACGATGCATGGAGAAAAAAGAAATGACACATATACCTACACTAATTATTAATATTAACGAACTAATCTCGATGGGTTTGAAAAATGCTGGATGTTGTCTAAAAATCAATCATCGTGTTTTAGAAGCAACCCATTAATACTCTCCCTTTTCCCCCTGTTTTTGGCTTCAATATTCTTGCATTAGTCGGTCGAGATGTACCTTAATTAACCCAACAATATATAAGTTTAAGGTATGGAAAGGAAAGGAAAACTATTCAACCAACAAAAAAAATCATCTGTCTGGCCCATATATATCTAAGCTCAGAAGTAAAACCTCTTGGTGGTACGTCAATGTCCTATTAGATTTTGATGGTTAGAGATATATAATTAATTTAATTGATTAATCTCAGTTTCTTCAGAACAGACTCCGTCACCACATTAACCTATACTAATTATAGCAGTTAATATATTATTTTCAATTAACAATATGTAGTATTAAAGTATATATAACATTAATTTCCTTTTGCACCATTACAGGTGGCAACCACATAATGTATTATCCTCTTGCACCATGACAGGTGGCAACCAAATAATGTATTATATTCCTCGTCGATCACTTTGACTCCATGATTCTTCACAAGAGCAGAATATAGTTTACTTTACATATATCACATGTTTAAAGATCATATACTTATACCGATCAGATTCTCTTTTTACACTATAATCATTTGATTGTTTTTTTTATAAATGAGATTCATGAAATCGTGTGAAAATTGGTACAAATAAAATGAATCAAAGAAATATAAACGAAAGAGAAAACAAACAATCACACAACAAGAATAATCCGAAGTATGGGAAGTGTGCTTACATTACATAGGTAATATATATATACTGTATATCATCAGACTTGACTCCATCGGAAATTAGGTACTAAAAATATGTAATGTCTTCATTTTAATTTATCCGTGTAAATTCCAACTTGCACCATATATGACCAATAAAGGTATATATACCACACAGTCACACACCATACATTATGTTCCACCGGACTTAGTGTTAGTAAAGGGTAAATATTTCATGATTGAACCTTTTGAGTTATTGGGATTAACTGGTTCTTGACATGATATCAGATTTTTTTGTGATAGAGAGGTCTTCTGTTCGATTCCCGATGACTCATATGTGTTCTGGATAGAGGTGGCAATCGGATCGGATTCGTGGATTGGATGGGTGGATTCCATGGATCAAATGGATTGGATCCAATGGATTGGTGGATTGATCCATGAATCCAAATGACATCCAAGGCTTGGACCAAAATGTAAAATTTGAAAAGTTTAGGTACTAAAATGTCATAATGAAAACTTTTAGGTACCAAAATGTAATTTTCCAATGATAGTTTTCGTATAAAATATAAATTTTAGGTACCAAAATGTAAAATATAAAAAATATAGGTACCAAATCGTAATTTTCCATTTGGATCCATGGATTGATCCATGAATCCACCAGTCCAATTGGATTTGGATCAAATGGATTGGATTTAAATGGATTGGATTAGGTGGATAATTTGGTGGATGGATTGGATTCATGGATTTGGATCCTAATTGCCACCTCTAGTTCTGAACCAATGCAAACTTCAAACTCATATATTGTGGCTGTCGTTTGAGGGGTGTATGTTAGTAAACGGTATATAATTCACGATTGAACCTTTCCCAAACAACTCGAATTATTGAAATCAACAGATTCTCGACAATTAGAGCATGTTACCTACCTCACGATACCACTAAATCCACTTTATCGACATGAATCTAGGTAACTAACTTTTAACCAACAGCTTTGATTAGATCAAAAGTTCATCGGCTAAAAGGTAATTAAAGCTTCTGGAAACAATGGGGGAAACTAGGATTCATATATAGGCACTTTGGTGCGGTGGGCTCTTAATTAATTAATACGGTCTTTGGGGTCGGCACGCTTATATAAGAAAACTGATACCCTATTACCTCGATCGTGATCTCTGTTTCTTGACCTTGTTATTATGGCCCCAATTTCTACAAGTTAGTTACCACTGTAATCAAATAATTTAATCCAAGTCAAACCGTTTTTTCTCCTTGGTGGAGAACTAGCTAATTAAGGGGGACTTCTCAATTAGTTCTCAATTAAGGGGGACTTCTCAATTAGCTAATTTCTTCATTTAATTAATGGAACTTTTTAATTACAAAGCAAGGAAAAGAGAGAAGAGAAGTGGAAGAAGGTAAAGCTTTGGTTGACTAATGTGATGTGAACTCTCAATATCAATATGCATGGCGGGGATCCACTAAGTCAATATCAGAAACGCGCTAAGAAAGAAAAAAAAGTAGATGAATAAGCAATAAATACGCTTTTACCTCTAATGACGAGATTACGTGCGGTAACACTTTTATTTAAGGTTATTATCATGTTTACCCACTTGGGTTAATTAATTAGGAGGAAACACATATTTGGTTTAGTTATTTACGTAAAATCTACGGTAGCTAGGTAGCTACCGGATATTTCAATCATGTGTGTGAAATCATCTCATGATTATACTTTTAATTTACTCATTTATTTATAATAACGTTTTAAAAAGCCTTGTGTTTTTCGTAAAACGGAAAAGATGCCTTATGTTGTAATGTTCCAACGTAGATGATCTTTGGTTATGATGTTATAATATGCGCATCTATATTAAGGTGAACAAATTATTGAAAGTGGTTAGACATTAGCTAGGAACCATCCATAATGAAAACAAATGACAATGTACTAGTCGCAAAAAATTACTTCAAAATACACCATATTATTAACACGATGAATCTCGTATCTTTTTCATTTTTTTTTCTTAAAATGATTTATAGTTCAAAGCTCAGACTTTCGTATCCAAAACTTCTTGTTGAGGTAAAGAAAATTCTTAATTTCTCTTCGAGGCATACTTTAGTTTGTATAGTTAAATAAGAAACTACAATCTCAAAAAAATTTGAGATTTATCCATCATCCATGTATAGTGAGAAAGCAAAGGTGGGTTCGGCTCGGCTACTGCAGGCGGTTTAATCACGAACTGGCTTGGCAAGTGCTTGGATGCGTTCTCATGCAATTTGGGAGCGTGCTCCATTACAAGTGCAGAGCTTAAAGGAGTTGTTGTTCATCTCGAGAGAGGTTTGTGTAAAGGGTTATGGAGAGTTGAGTCAAACCTTGATTCAAGTACGACAATCAGCATCGTCGAAGATTGGAAATAAAATTATCACTCCCATGACTTGCTTGCCACGAAAATTGGGAACCTTATTGAGTGGGATCAGGAGGTTGTAGTGAATCATGTTCATAGAGAAAAGAACAAACACATCATATTTTATGGCTTCTAGAGGTCATGTTCCTCCTTTTGGCACAAATAAACTCAAAATGTGCGACCCTAACCTGGCACAATGGTTGTTATACGATGTCATGTGAATCTCCATGACACAATCTATTATCATTACGAACTAGGCCATTTTTCGTCCGACTTTCTAAAAAAAAAAGAAGCAAAGATCATGTGTTTATCTCTTTCATTTTAGACTTTAAAGTTTCGGTAATACACAACAACCAAGTAACCAAAGTCTTAGTTTCTAATTGCACAAACTCATGGTTGTCTACCTTTATACTATCATCTCTATTATAAATATTACCAAAAATAAAAATTTTGAAATCACGACCTTAGATTGGACCATTGGCTAGACTTGCAATCAAGAAAGTTCAACTAAATCCAGAAAAAGGAAGGAAAAAAAAGGAAACACTCAAAACTATGTCAAAGTTCCAGGAAACGAATCCAACATTAATTATTTCTTGTATGACTTCCCAAAGATAAAAAAACAGAAACAACTAAAACAAAAGTCACAGTAAACATTTACCCAAACGTAACTGAAAGCCAAACAAAAGCCACCCATCTTTGAAATAAATGGCACCCTAGGCCACAAAAAGTTACAAAGACTTAGAAAGCAAGCATTCCATTAGGTTAATTATACTCTAGCTAGGTATTCATTAATGTCAATACCCCCTATATTTTTAAAATGCTGGGGGATTAGGACTATTACCATAACTGGGGCCTCCCTACCCTACACCTCCCTCTTGTTTGCTGGACTAGTGGTTGCAACCAAGTTTAACAAACTTTAATTAAGTTGATGAACTACAACTTTAGTTATTGACTTGTGTCCTCTTCTCTTCTCTTCTCCTGCATGCTGTAGGGCACATGACCCACAATTTTGCAGGGCTTGAAATCTTCTTCATCATCACCACCAAGTAGTAAACTGTAACCTAATCTCCCACCACCAAACCACCCTCTCTCTCTGTCTCTCTCTCTTTCAACTCTTTCACACACAACAGAAGAACCCTAAGACCTTCTCTTTGTTTCTTTCCCTATAAATACTGAACCCCATTCCCCAATCCTCTCCCACATTCCTCAAGCTCCAATACCCTTCTCTCTATCTTCATCACAGACTGATCTTCCCAACTGAAGAGCTCACAGCTTGTGAACTCGAAACAACAATGGAGCTACTGAAACAACCTCATCATTGCTTCCTCGTTTTCTTGTTTGGCCTTGTGCTGCTGTTCCCCGCTGCATTGTCGTGGAAAGATGCCGTGACTCACGTCCATCAGTTCGTTGTATGTTCATCATTTTCCTCTCTCTCAGAATTGTCGTTTTCAACAATTTCATGATTAGTAATATATGCACTATCGTTGATTATTTGTTAAACCGTTTGATCGTGTGATTTGGGTCATGTTTATAGATTCAAGAAGCGTCAGTGAAGAGGCTGTGCAAGACCCAACATGTGATGACAGTGAACGGGATGTACCCCGGGCCAACCTTGGAGATCAAGAATGGTGACACCCTCTCGGTCAAAGTCATTAACAAGGGAAAATACAACATCACCATCCATTGGTATTATTATTATTATTATTATTATTATTATTATTAGATATTTGGTTTTAAAATGTTTGGATTCACATTGTTGATTATACAAAAGTGTCAATACTATATGAGTATAAAAAAAAATGATGGTGGTTGACGACCATGATTGTGATTTCTTTGGGCAGGCATGGAGTGAGGCAAATGAGGACCGGGTGGGCCGATGGGCCAGAATTCGTGACCCAGTGTCCGATCCGACCAGGAGGCAGCTACACGTACCGGTTCACGGTTCGTGGTCAGGAAGGAACCCTCTGGTGGCACGCCCATAGCACATGGCTCCGCGCCACCGTCTACGGTGCTCTTCTCATCCAGCCCAGAGAGGGCACCAATTTCCCCTTCGCTAAACCAAACCGTCAATCCACTCTCCTTCTCGGTAACCCAACGACTAAATCTTAATTATTACTTTTTAACTCGTTCTTTTTTCGACACAAAATTTAATCGACTATGATGGTAAATATGATGATTGTAGGGGAATGGTGGAATGCAAACCCGGTCGATGTGGTTAGGGAAGCGACCCGAACCGGTGCGGCCCCAAATATTTCGGATGCTTACACCATTAATGGCCAGCCGGGAGATCTCTACAACTGCTCTAAGCAAGGTTTATTTTCTTTAATTAAAATTTTAATTGCTGCTACCTTGGATTAGCATTTCTAAGTAGTAAGTACATATTATCCTTGCGTGCGTTGACAATAATCATACCATCAATAGTCCTTTCATATTTTCACGTTTTGTCATGTCTTAATGCACTGATCATTAACTTTTGCAAAAAGGTCAAATAATGATAGCGGTTAGGACATCAAATCATAACTCTTTTCTTTTACCCGGAAGGAAAATCCAAAAATTGATGATGATCCCGCATGGGCCCAATCCATGGCCCAGTGGGCCTATCCAGGCCCATAATTGACTTTTTTCATTTCTCCCTGTATCTTCTTCCCCTACAGACACCGTCGTGGTCCCAATCAGCTCCGGCGAGACCAACCTCCTCCGAGTGGTCAACTCCGCCATGAACCAGCCGCTCTTCTTCACCATCGCCAACCACAAATTCACCGTCGTCGGAGCAGACGCATCCTACGTCAAACCATTCACCACCTCCGTCCTAATGCTCGGTCCCGGCCAGACCACCGACGTCCTCATCTCCGGCGACCAGACCCCGGGCCGCTACTACATGGCCGCACGTGCCTACCAGAGCGCCCAAAACGCACCGTTCGACAACACCACCACCACCGCCATCCTCGAGTACAGCAAGTCCTCCTCCGCCGCCAAACCGATCATGCCACGTCTCCCGGCCTTCAACGACACCCCGACGGTCACCGCCTTCAGCACCAGCTTCCGGAGCCGGGAGAAGGCCCTGGTCCCGGCCCAGGTCGATGAAAACCTGTTCTTCACAGTGGGCCTGGGCCTGAACAGCTGCCCGCCCAACTTCAACAAGACCCAGCAATGCCAAGGGCCCAACGGGACCAGATTCACCGCCAGCATGAACAACGTCTCGTTCTCTCTCCCGTCCAACTTCTCCCTCCTCCAGGCCCATAAGCAGGGGATCCGCGGCGTCTTCACCACCGACTTCCCCGCCGCGCCGCCGCGGGTGTTCGATTACACCGGGAACGTCAGCCGGTCGCTCTTCCAGCCGGCGACGGGGACCAAGCTGTACAGGTTGAAGTACGGGTCGAGGGTTCAGGTTGTGCTTCAGGGTACCAGCATCGTGACACCGGAGAATCACCCGATTCATCTCCATGGGTACGATTTCTACATCATCGCTGAAGGGTTTGGGAATTTCAATCCCAAGACCGATTCTTCGAAGTTCAATCTCGTGGATCCGCCTCTGAGGAACACTGCTGCTGTGCCTGTTGGTGGGTGGGCGGTTATCAGATTCGTCGCGGATAATCCAGGTACGAAAAATTGGAGCAGAGGATGGGATTTTTTTTTTTCCCTTCTTCCTGCTGTGTCGTGATTTTGGGGATTTTGGGTTTGAATTGAGTGAGTTGATTTTTGCAGGTGTGTGGCTGATGCACTGTCATTTGGATGTTCATATCACGTGGGGGCTGGCCATGGCGTTTTTGGTGGAGGATGGAGTTGGGAAATTGGAAGCCATAGAGCCGCCTCCAGAGGATCTTCCAATCTGTTCATGAATGAGTAATTGAGGAAGAACAAGAAGAAGAAGAAGAAGAAGAAAGAAGAAGGGATGGACTGTTTTTACACATCCATGGGAGTAGTGTGTATTTGGCCCTGCATTTGGGGAAATTATGTATTTGGGTATTTCTTTATAGTTTTGAGTCAGTCGGGTTTTGGTACAATCAATTGATTATCTCAGTGTAAGTTTTCTTTGTTGTTGTTGTTGTTGTTGTTGAAGTGAAATGGATCAAGTAACTCTGTAGTTCAACATCAGTCTTGCAATGGCATGGGCAAAGAGTGAATGATTACCAAATAGACCATCATCAGCTATGCGACCGACCATTTGAGGATGTTCTTTTTCTTCTTCTTTAACCTTTTCTGCCGTTTCCGACATGGATAGAAGCACTCAAAACAATGAGATGATGACTACTTGGACAAAGAATCCAAACCTAGCTATGAATCATTGCCCCCTGTTTGGCAAATCCAGATTTATTAGCAAATACTCCATCAATTAAGTAGGATGGAAATCGACAAGCAGGCAAAATTACAAGTTTCTACTCTGATAATTATTGTTTTCTTATTAAGTTCTCATAATCAAATTTGATTCAAATTTGTGGAAAAACAACTACAAGGGGATATTTATATACCCAATTTGCCCCTTATTAAGTTCTCATAATCAAATTTGATTCAAATTTGTCGAAAAAACAGCTATAAGGGATATTTATATACCCAATTTGCCCCAACATTGCTTCATTAAAGGATTATACGAATGGTTGTAATGATTAACAACCTGCTATGCTATGTTGGCATATATCTTATTGGGTTCTCTACCTTATGTTAGTTGGAATTCATTGTCGTTTTCTCCATATCTCACACGACAATCATGTTTCCACACACTAACATGACCTTTTATCTTGTTTCCTCCCTTTAGGCGATCTGTTGCCTTTTCCCATCAAAATCCCACATCCCCTGCTTCACAAATCACAATAGCTATGAGGAAAAGGTTAAACTCATAAAAATGGCCCCCAACGTTTTTGCACTTCCTCCTGGAATCGAAAAGGACATATCACCAATGGGTGTTATTATTGAAGGGTTTCTCTTGGATTCCACCGATTGCGAACATTAGTCGGAATGATGATTGCTTTTCCCGACTCTCTGTTTTTGGCTGGACTGGACCATGCTAAATTAATTATCACCGCCATCCTTAGCTATAATAATTATCAGGAGGACCACTTGCTGGCTGCTGTTCATATTAAAGCACTGCACTATTATGCAGATGCAAGCATTTACGTGTCGCTCTGCAGGTGCAAGCTAGAAGAAAGCTGGATTTGATCATATAGGAAGGAAGGCAAAGATGCGCCATCCTATGAAATATCTGAATGAGATACTAGTAAGTAAATCAAATTACAAAGGCCGAAGTGTTGGATTAGGTATAAATTTGCGTATAGAGATGAACCAATTTGGTTCGCGTCTTTAGTCGTTAGAGGGGTTTCTGTAATAACGTTATTACATTGTTAAAAATGACGCATTTCATAATTTGTAATGATTAAATGAACTTGATTTTGTTGACTTAACTTGATCACAATCCATAGGGCCATTGCGCTAAACCTCGGCTGCAATCTTTTGTTGGGCCTTAGCCCCCTACTTCGGCCTGACATGTATTGTCCTTTATTCGGCCCACTTTATGGACTTCGAATGGGCCAGATATGGAGCGAGGTAAAAGGGAATGGTGGCTACCTGGGCCCCGGCCGGGGTTACAACGCCCGTGGGAGTTTTGATGTTAAAGCTATCTCGGTGGTCAGCATGAGCGGAGTCGAGACTTGATTTGTTCGAATCAACTCATGAATTAAAATTTTGACTGATCATTAAGATCATGAGTTTGATTCGATCTCAACTAATTTATTCTATATAGTTCAACCTTTAACGTGACTGGTCACTTTGAAACCAGGAGCAACCGTGGATCAATGACGATTTATTCCGTTAAGTGACTGAATTTCGGAATTGAGGACTGCTTGCACGTACGGCAAAACATGGTTACTTATGTATGAGGTTACTTTTAGATAACTTAGTTGTGTCATGTGATCTAGTAATTAAGTTCTCCCACCTGTGGAAGAAAAGATACGGCAGACATGCAGTGGTTTCATGAGATGAAATTCTAGCACACAATACCGGTCCATAAAGGAGAGCTTTATCATACTAGAACTCATAAGTTTGACTGGCCAAAACAGTCACAACGTTGGACGCCTATATCACCTTCTCACTTTGTTTTTTTCAAGTTGGAATACATAATATAGGGTAAAAAGGACCCAAAAGAATGGTTTTGACTGTTTTGCACATGGTCCTTTTTCCTTTCTGTCTTTAGAGTTTAGAGACTGCTCTCTTTGTCTACATCCTATTCAAATTAATACAAACATCTTCTATTTTAGCTCTTTACTGAAAAGTAAACATCTACACGACCATACTCTAGCTGAAACTAAAGTGACCCAAATGGTAAGACATATGGTTCATATGCTATGTTTGATACGAATACGATCGTATCAATTCTCACAATTCTATCATTTTGAGACAAATTCATGACGATCACTAGCAATAAAGGATAAACTTAGTTCTATCATAGACCAGCCGATCATTCATATATGAGAGTTGGGATAAGCTCGAATGATAAAACTCACAAGCTAAACATAAACAACACGTCGATTTACGTGGTATCCTCGTTCACAAGAACGAGACTAATCCACGGAAGACTCTCTACACACATGCATCATATGCAGCCAAGCAGCAGCTCCAGAATATATTTGTTTCCAACCCTTTACACGTTCAACAGGGAATGGAAAATTACCAAACAGCTCATAAACAATAATAAGCTAAACAAATGAAGACCTCCTTCACGTACTCCACCATACACGTACGTGAAGCCCACGTAACATTGAAGGTATTTGTCGTGATCCTGTCAAGAATCAGTTGCTTCTAATAACTCGAGCTAATACCATGTCATTAACCAGCTGATCTCAATAACTTGAGTTTTTGGGACCAATTGATTCTTGGCATGATATCATATCATTCTGTAATCGATCGAGATGTCTTTTGTTAGAATCCCGACTACCTACATTTGTTAAGCAAATGGTATTCGACATGTGGAAACTTCAAACCCATATGAGTCTCTTCTGACAACTCGAATTAGTGGGACCAACTAAGGAAGGTGTGTGAAAGACTAGAGAGTACTGCACAAATAGACCAAGAAAGGAAAGAAAGGAACACGATGGTGATGCTGGAAATGGTGGTAGGCCAGGTAGCTGGAGTGAGCCATTGATTTCTTGAGCAAGATATCAACAACCCAGACAAAGTCAAATACACATAAAATATGAAAACGCCATAAACATTCATTCTGAAGAAACCCACCTGATGTAACACTCTGCGTACAGAACTTGATTTTTTGCCAGTGGGTGCAACCAATTACTCCCTTTACAAGTTTGCTGCATGCAAAATATGACCAATTATTTCCCCCACTCCTCCCACAGAAATCAAAACCTAATCCGCCAACCCAGCCACCCTCTCGTCTTTCACTCCTGCTATATAAATGGAATCTCCCCCAAAACATAACACAGCCAAGAATCCACAGAATCATCAGTAGGATCATCACCACCATGGCGGATGCGATCCTAGTTGCCAGCCCTGGCCGTTGCTGTCTTCTGCTGCTGCTGCTGCTGATTGTTGCTGCTTCGTCCATTTCGCTAGCAAGTGCAAAGACTCACTACCATGATTTTGTGGTACGTACATTACATAGATTTTGATTCGTTTCCTTATTATACATCTACCAATTTTCACACCATTTTGTTGGTGACGCACGTAGATTCAACCAACACGAGTGAAGAGGCTATGCAAGACCCACAACGCAATCACAGTTAACGGGATGTTCCCTGGACCGACGTTGGAAGTGAACAATGGCGACACCCTTGTTGTTAACGTTGTCAACCAAATCAAATACAACATCACCATCCATTGGTACATAATTAATTAACTTTTCACTTGTTTGAATTCTTGCACACATTCATCTGATCGAAATAATCTAACTTAAGCATACTGATTTTTTACACGCAGGCATGGAGTTAGACAAATGAGGACAGCTTGGGCGGATGGTCCAGAATTTGTAACACAATGTCCGGTCAAACCTGGAAGTAGCTACACGTATAAGTTCACCATTGAGGGTCAAGAAGGGACATTGTGGTGGCATGCTCACAGTACATGGCTTAGGGCAACTGTCTATGGTGCCATACTCATATACCCTAAGGAAGGGTCGTCCTACCCTTTCCCTAAACCAAGGAGGGAGACACCAATTCTTCTTGGTAATTAATCAGCAATTATGGATGGGTTAGGATTACTATACTTACTTGATCACTTATCCAACAGTTCTATCGCGTGTGATAATCTACAGGGGAATGGTGGGATGCGAATCCTATTGATGTGTTGAGGGAGTCAATTAGAACCGGCGGAGCTCCAAATATTTCGGATGCGTATACCATTAACGGTCAACCTGGTGATCTTTATAACTGTTCCAGTAAAGGTAATTCGTCCTCTTACTTTCAAACTATACTCTAATAACTTGGTAATGTTTGGTCAAAAGTGTTATGTTCGATTTTGACATAAGTTGTGTTTCATGACCTTTATTAAAATCGATAGACCAAATCCTCCTTTTATACAGTAAAAACTAAACATATATCCCTCTTATATTAATCTTTCTCACCTAAGTATTGACTAAAAAAAATAAGTATTACGTATAACATTGTCAAAAGCCCAGAAGGCTAGTCAGACAAGCCCAATAACACAAATTCCCGGCAGGTGTAACGGCAATTTGAACGAACTCTTCTTTTTGGCGCCAAAATTCAAGGGAAGTTGGCCTTGCACTCCACCTAACCCTCTCAATTTTCTTTTGCCAGAAACTGCAATCATCCCAATTGACGCCGGCGAGACGAACCTGCTCCGTGTAATCAACGCTGCGCTCAACCAACCGCTCTTCTTCACAATCGCCAACCACCCTTTCACGGTGGTCGGAGCAGACGCCTCCTACGTCAAGCCATTCACCACCACCGTCATCATGCTCGGCCCGGGCCAAACCACCGACGTCCTGATCGCCGGCAACCAAATCCCGTCCCGGTACTACATCGCCGCCACCGCCTACCAGAGCGCCCAAAACGCCGCCTTCGACAACTCCACCGCCACCGCCATCCTCGAATACAAAGCCGCCCCCTGCCCGGCCAAGAAACAGAGCAACCCGATCATGCCAATCTTGCCGGCGTTCAACGACACCGCCGCCGTCACCGCCTTCTCCGCCAGCTTCCGGAGCCTCAAGGAGGTCAACATACCGAAGGAAATCGACGAGGACCTCTTCGTCACCGTCGGATTGGGCCTCAACGACTGCCCCCCTGAATTCGGGTCGGATCGGTGCCAGGGCCCGAACGGGACCCGATTCACTTCGAGCATGAACAACGTGTCGTTCGTCCTCCCGCAAACGACGTCGTTGCTGCAAGCTTACCAGACCGACACCCCGGGGGTTTTCACCACCGATTTCCCGGACCGGCCGCCGGTCCGGTTCGATTACACGGGGAATGTGGACCGGTCGCTCTGGCAGCCGATTCAGGGGACGAAAGTTTATAGATTGGAATATGGGTCTAGAGTACAAGTTGTGTTGCAGGATACAAGCATTGTGACGGCGGAGAATCACCCGATTCATCTCCATGGGTACGATTTCTACATCTTGGCTGAAGGGTTTGGGAATTTTGATCCGGATGTTGATACCGGGAAGTTCAATTTGGTTGATCCGCCGTTGAGGAACACCGCCGCCGTGCCGGCCGGCGGGTGGGCGGTGATAAGATTTGTGGCGGATAATCCTGGGATGTGGATAATGCATTGTCATTTGGATGTTCATATTTCGTGGGGATTGGCGATGGCGTTCTTGGTGGAGGATGGGAACGAGGTGATGCAGACACTTGAGGCGCCTCCACTTGATCTCCCAGTTTGTTGAGAACTAAAACTTTCAATGAAGAAGTAATTAAATGGGTGATGGATCCCTGAACTTGGCTATTAATTAACTAGTAATGCTACTTTCATTATTTTTTGTACTTACATGTGGTTAATCGTTCTTTTGATAACGATGATGGTTGGTTCTTAAGTTTGGGGAATGAGTGAGGAATTGTGAAATCATTCACATTTGTTGTTTAAAACGAGCAGGTGTATTAGTGTTTGTTTATACATAATAGTTACCAAACTGGTCGAGAATTGAGTATCGACATGTGTCGGTATCGTTCTCAATGAAACGATCTTGATATACAAACATTAATGATGTTATTCACAAAAATGTTATCCGGATACGAATTTTTTTGCATTGACATAAGCATATACCACGAACTATGGTGGAGGTATTCCAAGAAAAGATTATTAATCTTGACATCTTAAAACCTGATATTATCTTTCATAATCTAAAAGAGGAGCTAGCTAACACACAGTCAATGGAGAGAAGAAGAAGCACAAATAAGAGTTTAGTGGATGTTAAAATCTACTCCTTCAGCTAGCTAGCTAGCAGATAACACAATCCAATACGTTACGAAGAAGAAGAAGCAATGAAGTAAGAAAGCAAGTAACAGCTAGCTAGTCAGTAGTCAATGGAGGTACAACTATCTCTCTAGTGATTAAACTTGGAAGGCTGGAATAATGATGCACGAAGCTCGAAAGTGGTGTTACAGATAAGTTGGTTCATCCACTTTAAGCCTGTTGTAGGCTTGTAGCAAGAGGAGCAAAAGTATAATCCTGCCTCGCTTGATTATTTTGATCATGCAACCACTCGCAGATGGACTTCTTTGGAGTTCACCGTTAGTGAATATATAATAATCACATTCTTTGAAGATCTTTCAACTCCTCAAAGAATTTGATGTTTTAAACTAATTAGTTTCAGTTTTATTACAACAGATACGTTAGTTTGTAATATTCAAATTGCAATACGAGTTTTATCAGTCTTTTGTTTTAAACTTATCGAGTTACCGTCTTGTAATAAACATGTAATAAGCGGTTCTATTTCTACACATTCACTTTTATTCGTAGAATGTATTGGGTTGATTCCGGATAATACATTGTATTAATTGATTGTGGACTCTATAGATTTGATTTCAATACTTTAGATATTCAGATTTTAGAGAGCCTCTCGATGTGTCCGATCATAAAAACTTCCAGACTTTCCTTTCTATATATGGTTTTATAACTTCCAACGTTTCCCTTATCTGTAGATGACGAGAACAGGATCGTGGGTTGGAACGTGACAAAAACCCGAAATTGAAAAGTTCGTACGTAAGCCATTACCTCAGCTAACCGCCGTGTACCAACCGTTTCGGCCGGTCGGTTGTCCGGCGTGGAAATCCACAAGATCACAAACAGAGTACCCGATAACCATAACAAAAGAAGCAGGAGCTGTCGGACATCGACTGCCACGGCCGCAGCCGGCAGCCCCAATTATTTACGAATGACGACACCAAATTCGGTTTATCGGCGGCGTGGGTCAGTGGTCACCGATGACGACAGCCACCCAACGTTGCAGTCTCAGAAGACGGCCAGATGGTGCCACGTGGCTCACATGCACGCCTCCCTCATCCCCGACTGTCGCCTCCTGCATCGGGACTGGGTGGTCAGGAACACGTGGCGGGTCGCCGAGAGCCCACGTGGTGGTTGCTTGTTGGCTACTGTAAAATAAAGAAAACCGCTCTGAGTAGTCGTGGCAAAACGGTAATTTGAGATCAACAGAGAGGGCTAAATGGCATAACGAGCAACGATGGCGCGGGCTCGTCTTGGGTTCGGGAAGGTTCGGGCCACTGAGGCTTTGTGTTGATTTTTTGAACGGTTCGGATAAGGATGGGTTCGGTTGCCGAGAGGTGCCGCTGGGCTGGGTAATGGCCACCTCATCCGTTGTTGGATAATCAATATCGGCCCAGAAGACGGTCAACGGTCAAGACGTTATCTTATCCTCTCGACGAAATACCTTATGTTTTTGTTGTTTCCGGTTACTAGTACCTTAAGTTCCCTATGCTCTAAATGAGGTCCCTGCTAATGTAAAAACAGTAATATTGAGGCGTTAAACCCAGTTAGTTTATATCAAACAATTGGGCTTTTGAGGCAAAAATTGTGGCGTTAGATCGTAATTCACAAGGCCATTCGATAATATTAGCGATATGAAAAAAGCATTCGGGATTTATTTGATGTGGTTCATTGTATTGTTTGAAGAAATTAAGGTGCGCCATAAGGACAAATATAGGGTTATGTGGTGGACAGGTTAGACGCAAGAAACCAAACATTAAGTGGGTGATCGTCATTGTATCATATTGTGAAAGAAGACGGCTTCAATAGTCGCTTATGTAAATGAAGGGGTGATTTGTCGAGTCATATTTTGGAACTTAATAAATTAAATGGTTTAGATATTCAGAGATGATAAGTTGTAATCCGTTAACAAATCCGTACTTAAGATGGTAATAAATAAGTTCCGAAACCAAAGTGTTAGAAAAGGTTTAGTTTAGGTACCAAAACAATATTTGTCCATATGACAGGGATAATATCAGAAATATCTAGAGAAGCCTATAAATATCTCTCTCTCGGTTCTTCTACAAAGATTCGATCGTTTTCCTTTCCTCTCTTCGAAAAGTAAATAACTCTATCCTTCTCTCAAGCTCTCTCCAAAAAAATCGAAAGATCAATTTAGAACAACAAAATTAGGCTATAATCTTTACGCGCCAGAGAATTTGATCTGAAGAGAAAGCCAGACTGGTTTCCGCGTCGAGCTCGGCTTCTTTTCCTGCTCGCTTGCTTGATTACATGTGCACTGAAGGCTTTCACAGGTTAGTTTATCGATAACCTCCTTCCCGCTTCGTCGATTTTCCCCCTTTTCCTCTGTTTTATGGTTTGAGATCTCCGACTCTCTCCTCGATTAGTAGCTTGAATTGCATTGGTAGGCTCCTCGCTCCGCTAGACGATTTGGGGATTTAGGGTTTCAAAATTTGTCCCTCCCGTCAATTGCTTTGGGAGTCATTTGTTCCCCTGCCTGTTTGGTCTCGGAAAACAGGAGTCCGATCTTGTAGGCTATCCGGATTTATGAGTTGCTTGTTGCCGAAGATTCGTGAGCATTGATAGTTCTTAGCTGGTTTTTGGACTGTTCACCCAGCTTGGGGCTGAAGGAACAGAAAAAGGCTTTTATTAGTAATTAGCCGATATACTCGCTGCAAAAAGGGTAGATGAAAAAATAAAAATGGAATTAAAAGGAAAATACCCACTGGGCTCCGATGCTTCGGCTCCAAGTAATCAGAGTGTGTACACGCGTTTAATTCAACATACTTAAGGACGCTTTTCATTATATTTACCCCTTTCTCGTAGTGATATACTGAACCGCGATTCCCCTTTCTTTCTGCAGATCTCCTGCTGTTGACAATACCTCTGACATGGGTGGCTTCAACCAAGCCTCTACCGCAGCTTGCTCGGATTCTACAAGGAAGAGGAGACGAAGAACTGGAACTGAATCTGTTGTGGAGACTCTTAAAAAGTGGAAGCAGTACAACGAGTATCTCGACACCTGCGCGGATGGAGGAGCCACTGGCAAGAAGTCAGGGCGGAAAGTTCCGGCCAAGGGCTCGAAGAAGGGATGTATGAAGGGTAAAGGCGGGCCGGAGAATTCACAGTGCAAGTACAGAGGGGTCAGGCAGAGGACGTGGGGGAAATGGGTTGCAGAGATTAGAGAGCCGAACAAAGGTCCCAGATTGTGGCTCGGTACTTTTCCTACCGCGTATGAAGCTGCTCTAGCCTATGATGATGCTGCTAGAGCCATGTATGGTCCTTATGCCAGGCTGAACCATCCCGATATTTCAAGGGCAGCCACCACCAGTTCGTCGAACGGTTATTATTCTGCCATGACGCCTGGTGGGTATTCTTCGATCAGTACTACTACATCGTCGAATCACTCTGAGGTTTGCGAGAATGAAGATGATGCAAAGGACTGGGTGGTTCCTGATGGGGAAGGTGAATCGAAGGCCAGGTCTCACTTGGTGGTTGAGGTTTCACCGTCTTCTGCTGTCAAGGAAGAGTGTCAAACGTTGGACAACAAGAACGAGGTCTCTGGCCATGATGAGGCGAGCTTGAAATCCGAAGTGAAAGAGGCACCCTTGGATGTGAAAGATTACGAGTGGCAGAACTTCACGATGGATGAGATGTTTAGTATTGAGGATCTGCTGAGTGCGTTGGAGAATCAGCCACTCGAAGGGGGTCTGAACAACGGTGGTGGTGGCGGCTGCTTGTTTTCTGGCAACAACCAGATACAGGAGCAAGATGCTAGATTCATTGGTGGATCGCAGCACAAGGAGCCAGTACCATTGTTCCCTGCTGCTGCTGATGATTTCAACTTCGACTTCTTGGAGCCCGGGAGGCAGGAGGATAACACTGTTCCTGTGGATGATCAGGGTTACTTCAGCCTGGGTTTGTCCGACTTGGGGTTTGAGGACCTGTGATGGACAAAGAAGTGTTTATTCTGGTTTTCTCACGGTTGCATCGTTGTTCTTTCGATGCGTTTTTTTCTTCTTTATCTGGAGGGAGCTGATTCTCTTTCTACGAGTTTTTTAGTGACTAGAGAAATCGGCTGCCGAGTTTGCCTTGGTTTTTCTCTTTTAACTTTTGCTGCTTCTGTAGATCGTGTTCCTGCAGTGGTCAGAGACTTTGAAAACGTTTACTGTAGATTCTATCCGAGAAGTTTCTCTGAGAGTAGTGAGTGAGGGTGTATATGATCTGATATATGGGTTCTGGAATAAAATAAAAGATGATGATGCCTGCTAAATGCTTTCGTGTGTAGTGCTTCCTGGCTCCAGGGTCATGGATGGAGCAATCGTGATGCTGTGACAAGGCTAAGGTACGCACTTGGTCGTCGTTCACTGTTAATCGAACTTGTGACAATCGTGTATTTTGATCTTATGAAATCTGAAATAAGAGATTACTGATTGCATATAATAGTAGAAAAGACGTTCACAATCATGTTCTTAAAGAGGAGCCATTTGGAGAAATGGTTGTTATAAGTTCCAACCATGAAGAACACATCAGAAAGAATGACACAAATCCTCTCATTGGGATGGAATTTTGAGGTCAAGTTTCGCATGGGAGCAACATGATTAATGGTGATGGCGGAAAACTCATGATGGAGTGAAAACGAGATATAGTTTTATCGATAGGGTTGAGAATAAGAGAAGTGAAAGTTAAGAATGAGTTATGGCTTTATCGATAGGGTTAGGTAAGAGAAGTAAAAGTAATAACAATTTTATTTCATTTAAAGAAAAATATTTTATTAGTTATTTATATTAAGCGGGTTAATGGTACAATCTCAATTTATTTTTCACTCTTTTAGTCATTATATGAAAATGAACAAAAAAAAAATTATGCCTTGAAAGACGAAAGTTGAAAGGACTAATCTAGCAATACAGTAAAGTGAGTAAAAAGTAAAAACCAAGATAATTTCACCTTGTATATGGTATATATGGAGGAGCAAGAATGGTGAGCAATTTACTTGTTGATTCGTTTACAACAATTTTGCTGAAATAATCCATTTCTGCAATTAGGAAAGTAATATCATCCTAATTAATGTGGCCTAATCTTTTGGACAAAAAGAGATGGCAATATATTTTATGGATTATTTATATTAAGCGGGTTGATGGTACAATCTCAATTTATTTTTCACTCTTTTAGTCATTATATGAAAATGAACAAAAAAAAATTATGCCTTGAAAGTTGAAAGGACTAATCTAGCAATACAGGAAAGTGAGTAAAAAGTAAAAACCAAGATAATTTCACCTTGTATATGGTATATGGAGGAGCAAGAATGGTGAGCAATTTACTTGTTGATTCGTTTACAACAATTTTGCTGAAATAATAAATTTCTGCAATTAGGAAAGTAATATCATCCTAATTAATGTGGCCTAATCTTTTGGACAAAAAGATGTGGCAATATATATAAGAGTTGAAAGAAAACATTCCAATTTGAGAAAATTCGTGTAATTAATTCCCATTCCCCAACGTGCAAGCCAAAGGTGGCCAAGATAGCTACCCCAAACCAATGTACTAACCAAACCGAAGTGTTAACCATAGATATGATGTTAGTTAGCAAAGAAAATTGAGAGTTTTGGGTGGTTTGGTTTGGCAAATTCTCCTCCCCAATTTATTTAACTGTTACTACTTCAAACCTTTTTTAAAAGTTACTGTATAAAAATAAAGGTTACCCAGTGTCTAGTTGAATGAATCATAAACCATCTACTTGCACTAATTCATATGCGTAGAGGGCAGTTGGTGGGTTAAGGGTCATCCTACTAAGAGACACTCCACTTCTTTCAAAAATGATTTTATGACGTCCTATAAAGTTTGATTTTATTTTTGGGATTGATTTCAATAAACTTATATAGACATATGCACAAAATCAAATGACCAATACTGGAGTGTCGCTGTAAGAAGTGCCGTATAAGTGGCACTGTATTTAATTGTTCTACGTAATAGTCCATGTGGCTTGGTTGTCTTACTCAAAAGTTAAAATCCACATTCCCCTCACTTTGCCAGATAGGGAGAAATAGATACATAGAAAGAGAGATAGAGAGAGCATGTAACGTCTTGTTAACATTATTGGTGTCAAAGACACAGTCTTCGTCAGTGGGAAAATACAGTGCAAAGACACGGTCTTTAGTACACCTCCGTCTAAGAAACTTGCAGCCTCTACTTGACGATGATGAAAAAGTATCGAGGAAGGTGGGAGAGATGTTCAGAATCTCTTCAAAATCTACAATGATGAAGTTCCTCCATTCCTTTGTTGACAAATCCCACGAGCGAGTCAGTCTGAAGAAGGGGCGTCGTCCTGACATCCAAGATCTACGAGGACCAATTAAATGCAGCGGCACTGTCGACACACGTTTAAAAGTGACGCCTTGGTATTGGCCAAATCAACACATTTAAACAGTGGGATCCACCCAACTGTCTCTTAATCCACTCCACCTCGTTCGCTCATTTATATCAATAAAACGATCGATCATTTCAAAATAACCATTTTATCTTAGTAAAACAATTTATGTAACGACAACCACATAAAGGCTTCTTCTTATCATTCTATTCACAACAGATTTTTGTAATTTTTTTGAATCAAAACCTGGGTTTGCCCAATCCCCACCTACCCAACTCGAGTTGCTCGAGCAAAGTAACCAACCACCACAGCCAGCCCAGTCAATCCACCAAGAACCTCACCTGATATACTTCCCTAAAACAGGGGGTATTCTTGTTTATTTTGTTGATTAATTTGACTTGTGTAGTTGTGTTTCCCTTTATATATTCTCAGTATTGCATTTATTAATCTTCCTTTCTGTTCTCTCCGGCTGCATTAAACTCACTACTAAAACTCTTCCACCAGAAAACCAAAAGGAAAAAGAAAGTCACTTTACCATACAACCTCACTCTCTACCCTACTCTGTCTACCATCAATCACCATCTCCATTTTTTTCAGCAGCTCTTATCATTCATTCACCCATTCAATCACAGCCCTCTGATCAAACCCTTTTTCTCTCCTCCTCTTAAACAAACAAACAAACAAAAATTAGGGGCAGTTGGTTCCAAATCCTTAGTTATCCACTTGTAAAACATTTTCATGTGGAACCTGAACTGAATTGCCTGGCTTCATCTTAGTTCCTCATTTCCCCCGTTCCATGCAATTGAAGTGACACGAGTCCCTAGATTCTCAGACAGACCCCACCTCAGTAACCTTCGTCATGAAACTGCCCGCCTAGGTCTTTACCTGCCTCCTTCCCTTCTTTTTTTTCTTTCTGCTGCCTGCTCTGCTCTATTGTATCTTTTGAGCTTTTTGGGTCTCTGTGTCACAACTACTCAGCAGTACTCACTCAAATTGAGGGAGGACCGACTTTACTCACTCAATCGAGTGGACTGAGTGAGTGAATGAGTCATCTCGCATCTCCAGCTCCACCCACCATTTCCATTTCATTGGTCCTGATACCCTTTTGCTCAAAAGTGGTGATTCCCTCCTGATCATCACTTCGTGAGTTGCTGCAGAATTACTTTCAGGTAGAAACGTTTCTTTTCCCTTTGTTTTGTCTGTTCTTCAATGTGGGTTTGTGATGATGAAGGCTTCAATGCATAAAGATTCAATCTTTTCTTATTGTTTTCTGTTTCTGAAGAGGAAGTGATGAGGAGGGTTTATGCTGTACTGTACTGTACTATCCCTTCCCCTTTTGAAGGTGGGAAATGGATTCTGTTTCTATCTGGGCATTTGTGGTTGTTTTTTCTTTTGGCTGATTTGTGTGTGGCTTTTGGTAGATGCTTGTGTTGGGACCTGCATTTTTTTGCCATTTGAAGCCAAGTCTGTCTGACTGTCTGGTTTTTGGGTAGTGAATGCTGCATTTCTTCTTGATGATTATGAGATGATGACTCTGTTTATGTCACCCATGTTCTGATTGCTTATTTTGGGAAACAGATTGTAGGTTCTTTTGGAGTAAAATCTGAAGGTTGAATCAGTCATATCTGTTAACTTTTACAGAAACAGCAAAGGGGAGACAGTGGGGGAAAGAAAGGTAAAAAAGAGGGGTTTGAGATGTTTTTCTCTCTTGGGAGTAATGAAAGCTGCTCTTCCTGTTTTTAGTTTTTTCTCCATTTTTTACCGTTCCATGGATTCCATTTTTATCTGATGTTGATGTGTTTACTCTTTTCTTCATATATAGATATAGGGTTTGGATTATCTGGCATGGTTGTTTCTGAAATGAAAAGGTTGATTGGTTTGGGTCTGTGTTTTTCCAGCTCACTTGTGTGACATTCTCTTATGTCAGACAATCTATATTGTTGTTAGCTGTGTTGTTTCAGAAACTTGAATGAGTCAATGCTTCCATTGAAACAGGGTGGTCAGCAACATTGGGTGACCTAATCAGGTTGATTTGGAAGCATTTACAGCTGTAATTGGCTTCTTCTATATCAAGACAGCTATAACGGATCGAATTGGTAATCCTAGTCGCAGGCTATGAAGAAAAGGCGCGTGCACGAATCAAGGCATGCGTTCCATGAAACGCGTAAGCATTCACAGTTCCTTCAACTTTTTCTTACCTCGTTACCATGAAAATGTTTTATATAGTAAATCATTGAAACCCACTTCTGCTTGCTTAATGGAGAGCTCAAAGTGACTGATTTAGCGCGTCGAGAACTGCTTCGCGTTGTAATGTCAACAGCATCTTGGGGAATGAGATGACAGTTTGCACATGTAATTTTTAGTAGATATATTGTTATGTTAATACAAGTAATTATTTACTTGAACAGCATTTGAGGCCTTCTGCTGTGGCTCGTGGAGAGGTGTGAGGCAGATTGAGATTAGGGATGGGGCTATGATCACACATTATGGAGATCACCACCCGGGAGTTGAGGAGAAGGGTCAGTTGTCAAACCTTCGAATAAGGTCTAGGCCAGCAACTGCATCTGATTGCATTTGCTTCCTAAGGGCAGGTATTGATGTCTGTGTGCTTTCATCTGCTCTACAAGAAGAAAGTCCAGCTGGAGAAACTAGAAATCCGGTATGTCTTCATAATCTGTCATTGTATCTCGAGCTTCATTTGGTATGTCATATTAGAGTTATGCCGTATGCATTTCTTAACACAAACAAACGTATCTTTACTGCATATGGTTCAGCAGTTTACTTGCAAGAGCTGTCATTTGAAGTCTGTTTTTTACTTTCCTTTTTCTTACCGGCAGGTGTTGGTAGATGCTAAAATAAAATCTATAGAGAGGAAGCCACATCACGAGTCTCATTGTTCATGCAAGTTCTCTGTCAAGCTCTATGCAAACCAAGGTGTTCTTGGTCTGGAGAAAGCAACACTTAGCAAAGAAACCGATGAAGTAGGAATCGACAAGATCCATGTCCTTCAAAAGCTCGATAAAATCCCTTGTGAGGGTCTATTCTATCGTTGGGATTACTCGGAAGACTGTGTTGTAGCACAGAGAACTAAACTTTTTTTGGGGAAGTTCTCACATGAGCTCACATGGCTACTTGCAGCATCTGTTCTCAAACAAATTGCCTTCATTGTGAGGTCAGTGCAAAGCAAATTAGCTTACCAAACTTGGGCTGATGATGAGGATAGCAAGACTTTGAAACCCGATATCCAACTGAATTTCATAAATTTCAAGGTGGAGGACGACATTTTGACACCCGTTGTTGTACAACACTGTCCTAATTTTAGAGATGAAGAAGCTGCTTCTTGTTCTTCATTAGTATTGGTGGTTCCTACTCCAGTTACTGATGAAGCAAACTTGAAACTGCGTCGATCTGGCCGTAGAAGGTTTCAACCGGAGCGGTTCCTTGGTGGTGATGTTGCTCCGGGAGAAGACCCCGGGTGGGTTAGACAGATGCCATACAAGACAGATAAATGGAAGGATGATGGTGATGATGATAGTGATTTGGATGTGCCTCTATCAGACCTTTTTGGTGCCCGTGGTGGAAATGGTGGTAGAAAGCTGGCTAAAGGAGAAGTTCCTCAGCTTGAACTCTTGGAGGATGATAACATGAAAATAAAAAAGTTCAAGGTTGGTAAGTCAAAGAAAAGAGGCCGAAAGCCTCAACTTGCCATCGTCCCGGTTCCCATGCCTGCTCAAAATGATACAGTTACGCCAGAAGATGTTGATGATCATGAACAACCTGATTCTCCTCCTCCAAATTCTCCTGAAATTCTACCCAGAGAGCCCAAGGATGAGGTCTCATTCGGGTATTATGGTAAGAGAGGTACCTCAGGCTCCCAGAGGAATAGTTTTGTTTCCTTCAGTTCGAGAAAGGCGAACTTCGAGCCTGAGGACATGGTTTTCCAAAGTGGATGGGGGCCAAAATTTGCTGCTGCTAGTAAGAAAGCTTCTTCAAATGGGAGATCATTCAGATCTTTCAAGTCCAGGAGAGATAAGTTTGGTGAGCGAAAGCCGTTCAAGAAGACTGCTTTAAGTGCTGGTGCATACAACAAGCTTATAAATTCATACATGAAGAACATTGATTCTACTATCTCATCCAAAAGTGAGACCCATATCATCGATCAATGGGAGCGATTTAAAGCCAAAGGTGACCAGGGCCATGCTAAGAACATGGATCAGTTTGAAGTAGAGGATGATGGTGAACTGTCAGAAACCGAGATGCTGTGGAGAGAAATGGAACTATGTCTGGCATCAGCTTATCTTCTTGATGAAGATCAGGTATCAAAATGGAGATCATATATCGTCTTTTTAACACACATCTACGGCTTTTGTCGTCTATTATTAATTGCATCGATTCACAGGATCAAGTTCCTAAAAAGAACGCCGAGAAGGAAGGTGACAGTAATTGCCTCCATGCATACAAACTTGACGAGGAGATTGGGATCATATGCACTATATGTGGCTTTGTCAAGACCGAAATGAAATACGTTACACCTCCATTTGTAAGTCAACATTAATGCAAGTTGGTTTCTTTTTTCACATTCATTTTACTGCCATGCTTGCAGATATACTGCAAAGAAAAGTTACATTATTCCATCCCAAAATAAGGCTTCTAGGTCTTACATGCTCTGCCCTACATTGTGAACATAAATGGAAGAAACTTAAGCATTCATTTCCTCTCATTTCTCTTAGGCGGAAAATGCTAGCTCGACTGCAGAAAGGAAACCAAATGATGGCAATGACTCGGATCCTAAGCCAGAAGGGGAAGAAGAGATCAAACTTTTCACCACTGATCACGATACCTACAAGGAAGACGTGTCATCATCTGCACAGAAAGAGAACGTTTGGGCATTAATCCCTCACATAAAAAACAAGCTGCATTTGCACCAGAAGAGGGCATTTGAATTTCTGTGGAGAAACACTGCAGGCTCGACCATCCCAGCCAAAATGGTGAAAGCATCAAAGAAAGTTGCTGGTTGTGTTGTGTCCCATACACCAGGAGCTGGCAAGACATTCCTCATCATAGCATTCCTCTCAAGCTACCTTAAGTTGTTCCCAAACAAGAGACCATTGGTCCTTGCTCCAAAGACAACTCTCTACACCTGGTACAAAGAGTTCATCAAGTGGGAGATCCCTATCCCGGTACACCTCATCCACGGGCGAAAGACTTACAGGCTGTCGCAGCAAGGTGCAGTTAAATCCACTGGAGGGCCAAAGCCGAGTCAGGACGTTATGCATATCTTGGACTGCTTAGAGAAGATTCAGAAGTGGCACGCACAGCCGAGTGTCCTTGTCATGGGCTACACTTCATTTCTCACTTTGATGAGGGAAGATTCAAAGTTTGCTCACAGGCAGTACATGGCCAAAGTGTTGAGGGAAAGTCCAGGGCTACTCATACTCGACGAAGGGCATAATCCTAGGAGCACCAAATCCAGATTGAGGAAGGTTTTGATGAAGGTGCAAACCGATCTTCGAATACTTCTCTCTGGGACTCTATTCCAGAACAATTTCGTCGAGTACTTCAACACACTTTGCCTTGCTAGACCAAAGTTCATTAGAGAAGTGTTGAGGAAGCTAGATCCCAAGTACAAGGCAAAGAAAGGGCCTAAGAAAGCTCGACACCTACTGGAAGCTCGAGCGAGGAAGCTTTTCATAGACAACATTGCTAGCAAGATTGATTCAGGTGTGCCAGAAGAAAGAATGGAAGGTCTGAATGTGCTGAGAAAAATGACGAATCGTTTCATTGATGTTTATGAAGGTGGGGCTTCTGATGGCCTTCCTGGCTTGCAGATTTATACTATACTGATGAACTCCACAGATATACAGAATGAGATTCTGAACAAGCTGCATGACATTATGGCTACCTACAATGGTTACCCATTGGAGCTAGAGCTCATGATCACGCTTGCTTCAATCCACCCTTGGTTGGTTAAAACATCGAACTGTGTCCACAAGTTCTTCGACATGCCTGAACAGATGGAGCTCGAGAAGCTGAAGTTCGACTTCAAGAAAGGGTCGAAGATCATGTTCGTTCTGAATCTCGTCTACAGGATAGTGAAGAAGGAGAAAGCCTTGATCTTTTGCCACAACATTGCACCCATTAATCTACTCACCGAGCTGTTCGAGAACATCTTTGGCTGGCAGAGAGGCAGAGAGATCATGATTCTCACAGGAGATCTTGAGCTGTTCGAGAGAGGCAGAATCATCGACAAGTTTGAGGAGCCAGGTGGACATTCCAAGATTCTGCTTGCCTCCATCACAGCTTGTGCTGAAGGAATCAGCCTGACAGCGGCTTCGAGAGTGATACTGATGGACTCCGAGTGGAATCCTAGCAAGACGAAGCAGGCCATTGCTCGTGCTTTTCGTCCAGGTCAGCAGAAGGTGGTCTACGTGTATCAGTTGCTCGCGACTGGGACTCTTGAAGAGGATAAGTACAGGAGGACAACGTGGAAGGAGTGGGTTTCGTGCATGATATTCAGCGAGGCATTTGTCGAAGACCCCTCGCAGTGGCAGGCAGAGAAGATCGAAGATGATGTGCTGAGGGAAATGGTGGAGGAAGATCGTGTGAAATCGTTCCACATGATCATGAAGAACGAAAAGGCTTCAACGGGTTAAGATTCAAAACGGTCTAAGCTAGCTTCACCTCAACTAACTGGTGAGTTGAAGTAACTTACTCCCCTGCCTTTCCATTAGTTAGTTTCTTGTGTTGCAGGATATGGGGACTAACTATATGCTTTTTGTATCATGGTGCAAAATGGGGCAAAAGCAAATAGCATTGTGACATGAGGCACCATAACCCTGCAAGTAAATCAAAAGTGCAGCTGTATACCCATAATGTCAATGAATATCTTGAAGGAGGAAAGAGGAAGCTATAGTTACAAGGACAAGACAGGAGACGGATACCCGCAAAAGAAGAACAATGACCTTTCGTGTTCGAACTGTCTGCAAAAATTTTCTCTTCTTTGATTCATTCTTGGGCATTCCTAATGTGTTCATAATGGAACAGTTTTCAGTTTATGAACCGTGATAGTTCCCCAGGTAGACAACTTGGCTCTGCCTTTGAGATTCTATGAAAATAATGGCTTGGCATTTGCTTTTCTCTTTACTTCTGTCATCTGGTTTTCGGCCTTTCGTCACTTTAAAAGGGTGTAATAATGGGGATGGAACAAGTGGTGGTATCAGCATGCACATGTTGGGCAGAGTTTCAGATATGCGATGCGACGGTGTCAGTCTAATCCGATCTTTGTACTGTTGGCGGAGACCTTCACTTTTACTATTCCCGTCTCTCTCACCTGCAGCTTCTGTTAGCAAGCTACGATATCTGTCTGGGTTTTTTTAAAAGGAATTGTTTGGGATGATAAAAGATGGAAGTTTTGATCTAAACAATCACCCTAGCAAACTTAGAAATGTGTTGTTTTTGTCGTTTAGTGATAAGTCCACAAGATGAGTTAAATTCGTTTTTGAAAGAGCCCAAGCAAAGACGAGTTTTAAAGTGATCAGTAGGCTCACTTTTACTTTGATTAAAAAGGCAGCAACCAATAAACACCAATTTAGTTTTCTCTTTACTATTTTTTCGATCAAAACAAGCTATATGCACAACTTCGGACGAAGAACAGAGCATGACCACAAAAACAGAGTATGCAGAACTGAAATGCAGAAATAAAAGAACACAAGCAATTTTTACGTGGTTTCCAGTGTTGAGAGAAGTAGAATCTCAACACTGACTAGTCGACGATCGGAGATTCACGACTTTGTGATCTCCGATGATCTACTAAGGATATGTCTTTGACGTTTTTCGATTTACAAATGAACAACCCGGTATTTTCCAGTACCGTCACCTCCATTAACTCCCCGTCAATCGAAACGCGTGTATCCCAACACGTAACCCAAGCTATCTAACCAATGCTTGAACCAAGCAACTCCCCGTATGCTTATTATTTTGTTTAGATAATAGAGCACTTACGTTTCGTGAAAGAGGCTTTGGTAACAAATTTAGTTTAATGTAGATTTCATCTTTTTGTGTAGATAATTCATTGTTTATTATTTTATACACTAATAATTAAATAAAAAGGACATTAGGATATACTTTTTAATATTTTGACATAATATTTTTTTCATTACAAACTATGACATCTTAATGACAAAAACACAACAATTGATTCAAATGGTCATAAATTCATCACATGTATGACGAAATGAGTTGTGTCATCAACTATGGTAGTATTTATAAGAGAAGTATGAAAACAATAGGTACCCAAAGAGACGTTGGAGTGAAAATAAGGCTGTGATGGTTACAAATTTTTTGTTAACTCAACCGCCACACCTCTGTTCGAGACTTTGTTGATGAATTTGGATTTTATAGGTACCAAATTATATATGGTACTTATATTAGTCAAATAAAATATGGAATAACTCATAGAAACATAGAGATGAAGCATGAATTAAACTCTGCTGTTTTGGTTTAAACTAAGTAAACTTTATTTGGAGTATGTTGAGTAGATCTTTGTTGTTGATCAACTAAAAATGGTCAAACTCAAGTTATACGCAAAGAAAAAAGGTTAATTTATACACTAAGGGCCCGTTTAGTATCATTTTGTTGTTGTTGTGGTTGCAGTGGTGTTGTGTAAACAGATGTACAACCACAACAGGAAAAAAACAGAAAACACAAACCTGTTTAGTTGATAAATCTGAAAAATCATGAAAGCTGACAACAAGAAACAAAAACGCGTTTAGTTACTACTGTAAGAACTAAAAACCAGAAAAAAGAGATATGTCCTCAATATTAAGCAAAGTCTCACAAAATTCAATTTACCTAACATCTTTCATGTTCCCTACATAAAAAATAATACTAAACATGATTATCAACATATTCAGAAAGTATAGATTAACATAATACTTTGAAGAAGTTGAAGTTACCTGCTGTGGGGGAGATGAAGTGAGGCTTTTGTGGAGGGGAAGTGGTCGGCGGCGGCAGGGGGGACTGGTGACGGCGGCGAGGTGCACGGGCGGACGTCGACGGCTGATAAGTTGAAGTAGGGTTGGGGGGCCGTGTTAAAAAAATAAAATAAAAATTTGCTTCTGTGGGGATTCGAAAACTGGTCTGGTTTAATGAAATCAAGTGCCCAACCAGTAGGAATCCCGTGTGCAACATATTTAAGAATCAGATCCAAAGCAATAAATTGTTGTTTCTCATATTTGGGCCCTGTTGTGCAACTCTGATTCACAACAGAAAATAAAAACCCAACTAAACACGATTTTTTTCTTGGTTTTCCAAATTTCATAAAACAAAACAGAAACAAAAAACAAGCAACAATACTAAACGGGCCCTAAATCGATCAACCTGACAACTACTAGGTCGATGGTCTATGCTCTGACGGACCTTTACCTGCTATGTTAAATACATCGACGAAATTCTATTGATGTAGTCATGTTCCTTTGGAATGATCTACTTGGAGTGGAAAGCACACGATCGTCATAAACTACACAAACATACCACATATTATTTTTATTTTTATGAATTACAACATATTATTACTATAGATTAAATGCAAAAATATGTTAATATAACTTTCATATGTAGTCCGAAAATTGGATGTAGAATAATATCCATTTAAGCAGATTGCTTCGTATCAAAACCAGTGGAAGGTACAAGGTCTAATCTCTTAATTGAATCTAGACACATGCAGCTCACAACTTGGCCAAAAATTACGTACGATCACATTGTTTTTTCCCGTGGATATACAAAAAAGAAAAAGATGTTGATAAACCCTATATATCATCATGTTAATTAAAAACAACTTGAATTGAAATAATCTATAATTTTCTTATCATAATTAATTATTGAATTCAATGCAATTTTTGAGAACCCCTACTGTAACAGCTGATCAGACCGAGAATACCGGATACCGAATCCAAAAAGGTAGGTGATTTTGACAGTAAAAAATGGTTGAATTACAATCGAACCACGATTTTAGTACAAAATATCTTATCACTACCCATTATAACCTCCGGTATGAATTCACGATCTTTGATTGATTCAATGCTCACACAAAATTGAATAAATGCAAACACTAAAAATGAAATATTAATTTGTCACTTGCCCACGAGCAGATTAATTCATTTCATTAATTCCTTGGACAATGATGATGATCCTCCAGCTAGGCATTGCCCATTGGGACCAATTAGTGAGGGGCCAAAAAGGGTTCTTAAGTAATAAACTAGTATCAAAACAGTCAACTTGTATAATATAGTATTCATCAACTTAAATTATTCGTTTGACTCCTAATTAAAATTCCAACTAAAGCTTTGTCTTTATTTATTTATAATCCCACCCTCTCAAATTAATTAGCTAGCTAGGTTGTGATGACTTAATACAAGAGTTTTGGTGTTTGTTTTGTGGTGCTACATTCAATGTACGTACGGTGTGCTTGACTAGCTAGTTGTAGCGGTTATGTATATAATACATTGTTGATTGATCAGAAAGATGAACATGTACAGATACTTTAAATGAATCCTCATATAATTAATTATAATCCAACTTTGGGCTGAGGTGATCGAGCAACTATATCCATATTGTGTTTCAAATTGTATGAAGGGTGAGCAAACCCTAGGCCTATTGGGTGATACAATAGGGAGGTTGACAATGTTGAGATTAGGAATGGAAATGGTGAAGGTCGTTGCGGGCATCTCAATATTTATACTCGGTCCATTATACGTTGGGTAATTTCTCATGAAGAGTGGGATGAGATAGGTCCATCCATATCGGTACTTAATTTAAAGGGAAGGTCGTGGTGGGCATCTCGATATTTATAACCGGTCTATTACATGTCAGGTAATTTATCATGAAGAGTGGGGTGGACAGGTCCATCCATATCGGTACTTAACGTAAAGGAAAAATATTATAATATTGCATTTTCATTATAAGAATAAAGAAAGAAACTCTAACATGGTAAATTTAGCTAAACTATTTGACAAATTGATTAACTCACTTGTTTACAACTTTATTAAGCTAAAATATGAGGTAAAAAATATAAAACTCTAAGTATTTTACGTAAAATTTCATGTAAGTTAGATAAAAAGGGGTCGAGCATCGGGTGGGCTATAGATTGAGGAGAGAGTATTCATGTTCTACCCCACCTACAAGGTGTGCACTGCCCGTTTCAAAACATGTCAAACAAATCGAGTAAAACGAGTCATGTCAAAATTGTCATCCTACCTAGTTGATATATCTTGGTATACCTATTTGGCTTACAAATTACAATCGGTAATACACTGGGGAATTAGAGATCAATTAAACCATCGTACCAATGAATCACATAAATTCGAGTATTATTTATTTTTCTTACTTTATTTGCCATTGCCCACTCAGATATAGTAGCATCAATTAAACCACTCAAATGAATTTTTGTGAATTGTGTTATTAAAACCTCCTACAGAACCGATCATGAAATTAGAGATAGAGTTCATTATAGAGATAAAAGCATTAATAAAAGATCAAATGGGCGTTCTAGGTAGGGGAAAATATTCATGTGGGTCGTTAGAAAAAGCAGCAAGTTGGCTGGATTTGGTGCAGGATTTATCATCTTTCGAAGAAGGAGAAAAGGAAAATGATTAATGAATAACTAATAACAAACACACCCCATTGGCCACTAGCCTTTCTTTTTTCTCGTGGAAGCTTCCTGGCTCGAGATGTAATTAATGGACATGAAATAATCAATTAAATGGAGACAAATTGAAGTTAAAACAATATGCAAGTTGTTTTTTTCTTCTTAAACATATTTTTGATTCCTTTCAAGAGATGATTATGAGAGGGTAATAGAGTTCGGCTAAATTCCGGTGGAAGGAACCTAAAACAAAGAAATACGATAAGGATACATGATAGGATAAAAAGGCAGGAAGCTTAAGATTCCAATATACAATACGAAACTCATAATCAAACCCAATGGTTAGACCCAAACGCAACTCCAAAACTCTAATTTACATTTATTACTCATCATCTTTCGTCTCTTAGTAGTAGAGCTACGTGTAGTTACTTTTGAGAGTTGTAATCCCCACTCGATGTTTGATTGAAGTTATGAAGTATGAACCACATGATAATCTCTTAGGGTGCGTTTGGATACAAGGATTTGGATTTGGTATTTGTGATTTGGATTTTCAAATACCAAATCATGTGTTTGGATATTAATTACATTAGGTATTTGGATTTGTGTCAAATTCATGGGGTGATTTCCAA